AAAAAAAAAAAAAAAAAAAAAAAAAAAACGTACTTGGACCAGGTAATGGTGCTGATGCATCCAAAGTGCTTCATACGTACGGATGCATTTGGTCTAGAGAACAGTCCAGGTCCATGTCGAGTCTTCAGTAGCAGAGCGAACCCCTCTCTCTCTCTCTCTCACACACACATACACCCGCACACACACACATAAAAAATACAGAGTCAAACTAGAGTTAAGCTCAACAAGATCTTCTTCCCCCTATGCACCCGTATCTGGTGCGCTAGGAAGGGCCAGATCCAGGCGCTCATCCACAACTCGTTTCGAGTGAACGGGGTACGAAAGGGGTTCCTACTGCAAAAAAGGGGAAAAAAAGAATCTAAAAAAAAAAAAAGAAAACACAAGAAAAACAAAACGAAACAAAACTCAGTTGAGGTGATTGCTGCCTGTTTTGAAAACGAACGGGCGCGCCGAACCCCTCTCTCTCTCTCTCTCTCACACACACACACACACACACACACACACACACACACATAAAAAATACAGAGTCAAACTAGAGTTAAGCTCAACATGGTCTTCTTCCCCGTGTGCACTCGTATCTGGGGCGCTAGGAAGGGCCAGATCCAGGCGCTCATCCACAACTCGTTTCGAGTGAACGGGGCACGGAAGGGGGTCTTACTGCAAAAAAGGGGAAAAAAATAATCTAAAAAGGAAAAAAGAAAACGCAAGAAAAACAAAACGAAACAAAAATCACCTGAGGTGATTGCTGCCTGTTTTGAAAACGAACGGGCGCAGGCAGGTGTCCTAATGACAAAGGAGAACGCAAAAAAAAAAAAAAAAAAAAAAAAAAAAAAAAAAAAAAAAAAAAAGGGGGGGGGGAGGGGGACAATGGGAAAAGGGAAAAGGGGAGTCGGGAAGAAGAATTTGTTTTCGGTTTTTTTTTTTTTTTTTTTTTTTTTGTGTGTGTGTGTGTGTGTGTCTTTGATTTTCCTTTTTTTGTGTTTTTAAAGGGAAACCATCTTGAGATATTCATCATCCGACTCACCGCCCTAAGGAAATTCATTGGTATCTTATTCGTCTCAGTATTCTATCAGGATTCGAACATAGCTCTGTTAATCATTAGTTCACGGGCGTGTATACTATAGTATAGTAGAATGTAGAATAGTATATAGTAGACTATAATATTTTATTTTTGTATAGTAGCATAATATCCATCCAGTCAGATAGAATTGCATGAAAGTAGAGAAAGCATCCACATACATCAAAAGCAGATAGCTCGTTCTTAGACTACAGTATAGTATAGTATAGTATAGTATAGTATAGTATAGTATAGTATGATACAGTACATAGCATAGCATAGTATAGAACGCATCCAGTCAAATGCATGAGAGAAGACAAAGCATCCACACACATGAAAATCAGACGCCGGTTCGTCCTTCGGCACAATGCCATCAGTTAACATTGGAACTACCGGTAGACAGAGAGAGAAAGATTATGGCAGAGTCAGAGACGATGGATGATTCAACACAATCCTCACCTTACGCTCTTGGACTTCTTCTTCTTCTTCTTCTTCTTCTTCTTCTTCTTCTTCTTCTTCTTCTTCTTCTGCTCCTCCTCTCTTCTCTCTTCTTGCTTGACATCAAGATATAATCACCGCCATAGCCGCCATAGCCGGTCACCTTCTATCCCGGTCATCCATGCCATCAGCCATTCCGACGGGAATCACAACAACTGCCGAGACGAGCTTGCCTGCACCACTCGCAGTCCTCCTAACTGCTGCTCGGC